AAATATTCGTAAACCTTTAAGCATATGCTTAGATATATATATATATTAAGATATATTACTTAATGCAGTTTTCCTCAGCCATCCCTTCATAAGTTATACACATGAACACATCCACATGCATACACACATAGAGAACCCTTCTAATATAAATATATGGAAATAATATAGAAGTGCATCCTTTAATTGTTATTTTTTATTTATTTTTAGGGACCTCATGGACTCCCAGGGCCAAAGGTAAAGAATTTAGTCCACAACTAAAATCATTTTTCCAATTTGTTATGCTGTCATACTCATTAATCATGTTGAGGTATGCACTTAAAATTTTGTCCTTGTCTCATTTTTCTGTGATTTTTTTTTAAATATTCGTAAACCTTTAAGCAGCTGCTTAAAATAAAATGTAAAAACATATATAAGGATTTATGGCAATTTCCTGTGTCTGTTCCATATCAATTTTAGCTAAATTAGCTTTCTATAATGTTAATTATGGAGAGCCAGTATTAATATTTAGTTGTCTGGTGATAATTTCAAACTATGACATTTGGAACTACCTTACAGAAAAGTTTAGAAAAACAGAGGATGGGTGTTTATGTACTTAAGAAGTTTTTTAAAAAAATATTTTCTTCTTCACTGTTGTCTCAGTCTTCTAATCAAGCTCATTTCTTCTCTTAACTGAATATATTCTTTTGAATTATTTTGCCAATCTTTTTATTTGAAAATCCATGTTCCTAACAATACCACTTAAAAATCCACCCTTGCAGTTCAAAATATTATTTATAATATATGGGAATTAAATGTGCATGCAAACACATTGTTCAATATTTAGCCAAAAAGAATAATTTAAACCCTAATAAACTTTAATGCTATTTGCATTTATTTCATATTTCAAAGTCTTTTTTTTATAATGCATCTTTGTAATTACTATAACTTTATATTAAAATTCTAATATTTTATTTTAAAAAGAATTAAATATGCCATGGTTTATTCACATTGGTTCTAAGTTCTCTTCTTCCTTAATGAAATCAGGTGTACCTTTCTAGGAATCTCCAAATAGTTCTTGCTTTTACAGTTTTAGTAGCACAGAATATATATATAGGGAAATCAATATAAATTTTATGCTACTTTTTAAGAATCTGGAAACCATAAAATTCTATTGTCAAAGACTATAAATTAAACAAAAAAACACATGGTTCCTCTTTAGAAATGTCATGAAATTCTATTTAGCAGAGGTAAAGAATTATTTCTACATATCAATTCTTTGTAAATTGGGAAAATTCACTGGTAATTATCCTGGTTATTTTTAATTATAAATGTTGATTCAATTAGAAATACAGTATCTAGTTTTATTTCAGAGCAAAAGAGTTCCATTATCAGAGAATTTCAGAAACTTCAAATTTTAATAACTTTGATTGTCAATAAGCATTTAATTACTTTTGGGGTAACTATTATATTGTGATCATTAGAAAGAATAAGCCAATGTACCACAGTCTTCCTCTGTTTAACTGATAATAGCCATGCTTAAAGGTTTGGAATATATTTTCATGAAACAATGCATATTTTAGTTTGCTATCTGAAGAAAAAGCCAGTTAAGGCAATGTAGAAAAAAATACTTTGTAATTCTGATTTGATTAAATCACATTCACATTTTTCTGGCTTCATTAATTTTGTTGAAAGCCTGAAAAATTATGAATGGGCTTGGAATACATTTGCCAATAAGCAAAATGACAGTAAAACTGTATCCAAATTATTCAGAAACATTCCGAAGTGTATGATTCAAACATGCAAGTTTATGTAGATTGTTTAATGACACCTATTTTAATAGGAGTCATGACTATTGCCATACAAAAAAATTTTATGATCTAAGCAGTGAGATGGTCTATTTTGATAAACAACCAGATTTATATTCATATCCTTCACTGGCTCTCTTCTGTCCCAGCTTGAGTATCCCTGTCAGCATCTTCACAAAATAGCATTTATGCTTTTATATTTAGGGTGAACCAGGGTTAAATGGTCTTAAAGGATTGAAGGGTGAACCAGGTCACAAGGGTGACAGAGGGCCCCTTGGTCTCCCAGTAAGTAAAATACTTCCATTTCAGTGCAGATTACAAGCTTTTCATTCTACTTTCAACCCAAAACTCTGGTTTACTCAATAGCAAATATAAAGCCATCTCATGCTGAACTGGTGTCTTTTTGTTAATCAAGTCTAATCTTGTATCACCCCATAGTATATGGATTTGTTGCTTTTTCATTGTTATTTGTCAGTTGGCAACATTAATTAAAAATGTGACTTTCTACCATTAATCATGCCATTATTTAAATGTTGTGTGATGTTTTGTTTAAATATTAACCATTGTCCACACAAGGATTGTCCATATGCTAACTGTAGGTTTTTGTTTAAGCAAAGTGACTGTAATTATAGTTATTTTATGAGACAATTATGGTTAGTATCCTAATTAACAAGTTTATGTAACAAAGTTATTTTTCATTTGCTTGTAGAAGTATACATTTTTGGGAATTGTTTTCCTTTGTATAGTACTAATTTATTTGTAGTCAGTGAAATTCAATAAAATCCCTATTTTGCTTTCTGGAAGTGTTAAGATTTTCTGAAGACAAACAAAATAAGTCATATCAGTGCAGAGTTCACTTCCTGAAATGAAAAACATAGAAAAGTAAAATAACTGAGAAAATCTATTCAAAAGGGGCATTGATCCAAAGTCAAGCCCTTTAAATCCATTGTAGAAATTCAGCAAGAGTTTAACTCTCTTCTGATAAAATTAATGGAAATATAATACACAACTTTGCTTGATCAAAGTGTGAAAATTCTCAAGGGCTCCCATATACATAAAGTCCTCCAAATAAAGCTATCTGACATCTTTAATTCACTTTGGTATGTGTGTGACAGCACTGCATTGATCTTGTTCATATAATATCCACAGGGATCATATAACTCTCAGCAATACCAAAGTGAGGGTTGCAAATTTGACAGATATTTCAGACATGATGGTTAAACTTATTGAAATAATTGGTAAAATGGCTCTAATTTTAATATTCTTCCTATACTAATCATGACCACAAGTCATCGTTATGACAAAGCACTAAAATAGTTTATCTAGGAGATTTTTACAGATTGTCATTCAGTAAAAAAACAAATATTTTAAAATATTTTATGGTTTTAAATCTGTTATTGTGAGATCATATATTTAATTTTTGATGCACTGCTGCTTTCTTAGGGTTTTGGTTCTGGTTATGAAAATATACTTATATCTTTGTTTTGCTTGAGTATCTTTTACTAACTTTTAAATAATGATGTGTTTATTAAAGATCAACAAATGCTATAGCAAGTGAACTTTGTAGCATTAATGCATCTAAGGACTAATTCTGATCTCATTAAGCAATTCCACCAGGTAATAAGATTACCGTTATATAGCCTCTAGTAAAATCATAAACTTGTTGTGTTGTTTATATATTTATAACTTATCTAATACAGTAGTGTGGTACTTATTCCTGTTACACTTTTGTAATCTGTGTATAAAAAAAGAAATTGTACTTGTTTTTCATCATAGTTACTAATCTAATGTTCTTGTCATTCGTGTTATCCCTGTCATCCGTGCTTCCGCTTAACTATACAGGGAGCCTCTGGCTTAGATGGAAAGCCAGGAGCCCGGGTGAGTCCTTCCTGTTCCTATGTCCTTCTGCACTCCCAAATTGTTTCCCAGTGGACACATCAGCTGATTTACCATGTAGTACTGCCTGCTTTTGTTGCAATAGAACTGACTGGGTTATTTATATATTGATATTTAGCGGGAAGTTCTTGATAATGATAGGCTAGCAACCTTGGTAGTGATTACTTAGCAATATTATATCCTAATTTTTTTCCCAGAGGGAAATGTTGGATACAACTAAAATTATAACCTTATATATATCAGATTATAGATTGATAGCCCATATGCTCATGTCCATAACAAATGACATGATATAACATCAAGCTACAATAAAATTGTAGAAGTCAAAATTTAAAGAAGTCCACCTTTCTATTTGTTCACTGATGTTAATCCAGCCACTCTAGCTTGGTTTAAATAAAGACAAAACCCATGTTGGAAAATTGTTATTTGTTTTGGTGTTTGATATGGCTCCCCCACCATTAGTTGGTATTCTCCCTAGAGTTTTGGTGGGGGGGGGGGAGAAACCTCTAAAATTCAAAATGCCCAGGATAAACACCTTATTTATAAATAACAGCTCTACTGTTCTTTAAAACAAATTACTCAGTTTTCCAAGAGAATGATAGAACAATTTAGTCGACCATATAAAATGTCCTTTTTCAGTGTGTCACCTGTCGCAACTATCTTTGTGAGTCTTTTTGTGAATTTAGGGATTTTTTCGTGTTATCTCCCTTTGTTTAACCTTTTAACTCTTCCTAGAAAAAGATCCCTCTACATTTTCAATCTTACATACTATAAATCTGAACAAGCAAGTAAACATTCAAGAGATAGAAAGAAGCACCACAGAGCTTTAAGGAATACAAGTGGGATTTCTGAGTCTGCAAAAGGAATCAAGAGATTTGGAATCTCAACAGCTAAACCATCGTTCTAATCCATGTTCTCAATTGTTGACATCAAGCTTGATTCTATATAGATTTATTTAATATAAAGCTTAATTTAGGTATTCCCAACCTTTTTCAGATCATGTTTTATTACTCTTCTAGGGTATTGATGGTCCCGCTGGTCCTCATGGCCCTGCAGGTCCAAAGGGAGACAGAGTGAGTCCATGTCTGAGATGTGCAAATATACCTTAATAATAGTGTATATTTTTGTGTTCTGTTCAAATAACTTATTGAAATACTTGGTGGTTGCATTCACACCAAATGCCTAATCTAATTACTGAATTTTCCCATACTTTAGGGTTACATAATACTTCGAGCAATCACCCAGCTAAAAGCACTGGGTTTTCACAACATAAGAAGACATACAAAGATGATTATCATGGTGATGATAATGGTTACAAAATCTACATTCTAACTAATATTATAATTCTTACACAAATGCAAAAGCACCAGACTGTCTTTAAATATGTTAATAGGAAGCTGTTTTATTTACTGCACAATTCAAGGCTACAGTTTTTTGTTTTTGTTTTGTTTTGTTTCAACAGAGAAAATTTTATTGTCGTTTTGGTGCTAAGAGCTCCCTCATCAGAAAGAGTAGGATGCTAATAAAACATTATGAATAATGTAAATACTTGAGGTTTTTATTATATTCATACAAAAGACAGCTTTGCCTTAGAGATGAATAAGAGGAAGTGAGCATAGACCTATCATCTCTCCGCTTGAATTACCTAAGGCTTCTTTTTACCAGCAATTTTATTAAAAAATTACAGCCACAATAATAAGAAACTAATACAAACTAACTAGAAAAAAGAAAAATAGGTGAAGAGAAGAAAAATAGATATAGAACTGAAATCAAAAATAAGAATATTGTAAAGAAAAAAGAAAACAAATATATAGATAAATGATTTCCCTTCATCACAAGTATAAATAATTTTAATAACTTATCATGTTCTCTTAAAATACAACAAACAATTTCTTCTTCCAAAGGAATCCTTAAATGTCTTGTTGAGCTGCCAAAGGCTTCTGAACACAAACATGGAGATTTTGTGAAGGATAGAAATAAGTGAAACATATTGCATAAAATCTCTTTACTATATATGAGCAACATTGATATTATTATATTTTAGGGTGAAAAAGGAGTTGCAGGAGATCCTGGGCCCAGAGGACCATATGGTTTGCCTGTAAGTTATATGGTTTTTCAGAAGTGCAATATTTGTAAAACCCTTCATTAAATCTTGGTACATTTAATAACTTTTCATCATAAAGAAATGCAATTAGTTTAAATAGCAAGTCATGGCTCATGAGACTATCTGCTTATTTCAGGTTTAGACAGATTCATCTTTTCAGCGCACTTTGTAAAAATAATAAAGTAGGTTTGAAATGAACAAAATAAGAAAAAACAATATTGAATATCAACTCTTTTGTATTGCTCCTGCCATTTGTATAATTTTGTGAAGGTGTCCTTAGGCGTCAAATTATAATGGTATGAATTTGTGCCAATAAAATATTAGATTATTTTTTTAAAACCTCACATATCTTTCCAGAGGAAAGAGCAATCAGGTCTTAATTATGCAAACCATTTTATGCTGTTCTGTTTTAATTTGCATTTTAAGCAAATTTGATAAGAGTTAGTTTCGTTGTTTTTTTAAATGTTACACAATTACATTATTGTCTTGTTTCATTAAATGTCTCAGGCAAAGTATCTTTGCTCATGAAAGATTGATATAAGTAACTACCTTGAATATTGCAATATACTGGAAGCAATTATTAAACTTTGCTAGCATGCAGGTATTTATAATGTGCAGATATTAAATTTTGTTTGATGTATATATTATAAAGAAATATATTTATATGTAGACATATATAAAATGAGGAGACATCTCCATATCAGTATAATTTTAGAATAAATATTTTGACATAGAAATATTTTTCTATAGGTTGAATACTAAAGAATCATATATTTATATGTATAACTGGAATTTGATGTTGTTTATTTTTGTGGGAAGTTTTAAAGATTGAAATATACTTAATTCTTCTTTGTGTCATGCACGATATCATTTATTCAAACTGCAAATGAAACTATTTGTGTATAAACACACATGAAAGGGAGAGAAAAACAGCAGGCAAACCACACAAAGAGCATCTAAGCCAAGAATCATGCAATTTTTAGATGTAAAAACTATGGGTTTAGATTTTTTTTAATAAATGTATTTAGCACATTATTTTAAAAAATATATCTGTTTAGACAGTAGTAAATTAGAATAATTTACTATTCTTACCCATCCCTCCATCAAATGTATCTATCTATCTATCTATCTATCTATCTATCTATCTATCTATCTATCTATCTACCTCCCTATCTCCCTATCTACCTATCACATTTTTGAACCACCTATCTCCCTTAGATAAATAGCATTATTTAATATCAGAAAATGTATTGCAAATAAAAGAGCGTGAAAGAAGTTCATATCCATTGACAGTGTGTCAGATAAGTGCTGTGTTTATTCAAAAAGACCCCAAACATGGTAGTACTGGCTTCTGTATCAGTTACTGAGAATCACTATGCGTTACAGAGGAATTTACTAAGCTGCAGAATGGCCGTAGTTCCTTGGTAAAGCATGCAGCCAATTGAGGCAAAACAGCTTGTCTGAAAACCTGAGGAACTGTTGCCAAGCATTTTAGCCATTTAGATTAAGATTAAGTCTGCTGGCAGTGCTCTGGAAACATCTGTCTCAGATTTCAAACCACACTTCATTGCAATGACAATGGAAACCCTTGTTCTTTTGCCAGCTTGCTTTGTGACTTCATAGTAATTTTTTCAGCAATTCAGGTGACTATTTCAGTAGAAATGTTTCAGTAAAAATATTTATTGAAAATAGTCATGAAAGATAATTCCCAACTTTTGAGCATTCTCTTATCTCTCCATGTGTCTTACAGATAAATATTTATTCTTACTAACTATTGTTTAATTCAGGGTAGTCGGAAAATGTCCACCCTAACAGATCCTACGACTGTATAAAAGTGATCATATTCATAATCAGCTCCCTCAGTTCATATTCTCCAAAAAAAACTAGATAGATATTGCAGGAAGTGTTCTGCGTTAGTCTCTAGTGACAAAAAAAATCAGAATCAGGTAGCACCCTTTCTGATTAATAAATATTATTAAGAGGCATAAGCTTTTTTGGGCCTCGATTTGCATTCTTTTAGATGCTTCTGAGCTTTCTTCTAGTGATTGTATTGCTACTAAAATGACTTGACCAATATTAGACATGTTCAGAGGTTTCCCTCTTTGTATGTGGTGTGATTGTTAGCAGATGCCCTTCAATTCTAAAGAGTTCCAGTATCCCAAGGATCAATAAGACAGAATATACTCAAATGACATTTTGCCTTATCCAAACCCATACTTGCAGAGTAACCTGAGTAGGAGTTCTAATGTAATAATCAACATACATATATGGCATTCCCTGACATTTAAATTGCTTGATATTAATTATCATTGAACATGTTCAGTGCCATGGATTTCTACTCTCTTCCTTTTCTGTGCTCTATCAGAACTTGGAATAAGAAGAATTTATTTTCATGTTTTGCTTCACATGTTGTCTAAAATAACAAATAATTAACTCTGGTTTGCTGAAATATATCATAATTCACTATTTCATACTATTTTGCTTCAACAAAAGCATAATTAACAATAATAACCCTAAGTGATACCTAAATATTTCCTCATGTTTAAAAGAGTACTCAGTATAAAAGGGATAAATGCACCATATGTGATCGTTCTTCATTCAGAGAGCTTCTTCTTAAGTCAGTTTTGGATTCAAAATTGTATTTTGTACACAGCACATATCTGAATAATCCAGGCAAATATTTAACCCCACTCTCAAGTTTTATAAGAGCCTGAAAGCTTAACAAAACTATTATGGTTATTTAATAGGGCAAAGATGGTGAACCTGGCCTTGATGTAAGTAATAATTGATCACCTATTTGTCTGTGTGGTAGGTAAACATTTGTTTCTAATAAATAGTCGCATGCTTACAGCATGTTGAAGATTATCCCATTTCCTATGCATGACAATCATGCAGAGATTATACTCAACATTGTACTGTTGTTTGTCTTAAAATAATACTAGAGAAAAAAATAATAATACTGCCATAAATAGTACCCCTAATGGTTTTGCAGCAATTGATGCTAACTAGAGCACGGATAAATGACCACGGAATGACAAATGTTCATTCAATTCTGTATTGTTATAAGCATATTACTAAGTGCATCAAACCTTACAAATGCAGTCAGTTAGTGCTTGGAAATGCAGCCACATCAAAACATCACTATAAGGCAACTCCTATTTACAGCAACAGCTCTTCCAAGATTTGGGGTGTTTTAATCATCTTATCATAAACCACACATTTTTTTAAAAAAAAAAGCCTGCCACTGCATTCTAAAACAGTGAAAACCTCAAGGGAAGTTGTTCCCACAAGGATCTAGTGTTTCTAGATTGCTACAGCATCTTTGATTGCACATGCTGACTGCAATTGAGTTATATCTTATCAGAATTAAATTAGAAGCTGCAGTTAGATGTTCCAGTTTGTGCAAATTCTTTGGAACGGAAAGAAGTTAATTAGAATGCTGCTGCCCATTTGTTCAGTGCCACTAAACCTCTATGAAGCATTTGTCCTTGAACATTGCCAGCACTAATTTGCATGTAGGAAAACGAGGGTAATTTTCTATCAATTCTTTTTTAGTTTCAAACTACGCGATGCAGTGTTCTTGGGAGTGGGGCTGCCGGGGTGCATCTCATATAGTTCTACAGTAAATAAATAAATAAACCCACATATCAATATACAGAAGCCAATAGATATATTTTTGTTCGTTTTTTATAGGGATTCCCTGGTCCACGTGGAGAAAAGGGTGATGTAGGAGAAAAGGGAGAAAAGGTGACCTCAATGCTATTCAACTGTTGTTTGATTACTTAGCTTAGTCAGTTGCTCTCTCTTACAATTTGTCCCGTTAAGCTGGACTTTCTGCCTTCTGTGTGCCAAAAGGCCTATCACTGCTCTACTAGACAAAGTCATTTGTCAGAACGTGAAACCAAGCTTCCATCCAGATCCCCCCAAAATCAGCATATTCCATAATCAGGGAAAGGTTTTCTCCCTCCAAGACTCCTTGCAGTCTGTGTTTGTTTATACTGTAGTTACTGACAAGAGACATTGGAGGAGCAATAGGACAGGAGACTCTGGGCCAGAGTGACAGCTTTTGTAAATCAATATACTGGTAGGGCTACAGACTTCAAATAAATGTGCGCTGTATTTATACTTCTTAAGCACCTGGTTTTATTGCTGAGAGGATGAAAACTAAGCTAGGAGCACTTTGGACTAATTCCGAGGAAGTTAATTGCATCAGATTCCTACTGCAAGTGATAGCTAAACAGTTAATTAAAGCACTTAGTCCTATTGAGACAGCTTCAATGTGCTTGTCATTGGATTGCCCTCACGTACAATCATTGAATTTCTGCTAGAATATGCAGTGTGGGAGCTCTGGAATACATGCACATATCCAGCCCATGCATGGACCTCTCTCTCCAGTTCTTTATTTTCACTGTGCGCTAATATGTACCCCAAACAGTTATACATGTAGATAGTTAGTTCAATGAGTGGTATTTAAGACATCCCAGCAGATTACCAATTGATTCTCCTTAGGTTTTTGTGAAAATTCAAATGGCTTTTGATTCTGAAATAGCAAAAACAAAATATTACAGGAATTCACATCAAACTGCCCAAAGCAAAAGTCAAAATTGCATGTAGGTTGTATCAGATTGCTAATAAGCAAAGAAAGAAGCTTGCAGTAGTACTTATTTCTCACATTATAAAGATGAAAAAAAGTATTGATTATTGCAGGATATTGCACTATAGTCTATGCCCTTGAAGTGGCAGCTTCCCCTAGTTCCAATTCTGATGACTATGCATTAGGCATGATTTTTTTACTGGAGAAAGCCTATATCCAGCAGAATGGAAATCCATGTTCATACAGCCTACATGTATTCAGTGTTATCTTGAGCCTTTGTTCCTTGACTCATCCATTCACAATGCCTAGCCATAGAAGATGAAGAAGTCATACAACTTTAGATGCGATATAAGCAGCATAACTGTTTCTTTTCAGTTGTGTAATTCATAAAAGAGTTGAAAGATAAACAAGTCATTTTGTAGGATAAACAATATTGTAATATTTCATTGGGGTTGGCCAGAAAATAAAAACCTAAATTGGGAAATCTGCTTTGAAATAGCCTGATGAGCTTCGTACCAAGACTTTGTTTAGGCTTATTCCCTTCTTTAGTTCATTTTCCAAACTTTTCATGTTTACCCTGTTGAGTATGTTGGGAAAATCAATTCCCTGGAACAATTTCTAATAGAATGAAATATAAAAGGGCTGCAGCACCACCTTCTGCAACCATGAAGTATAGCACAGGGAGCAACAATCAAACTGTATGTCTGAGTGGAAAACTAAACTAGCCACCTTCAGCACTAATCTTTGTCACTTTCTAGAAACTGTATTTGGTCCAACCTGTTCAATCTTTTTTAAATTGTGCTTGCCAAATTGATAAAACAGTAGTGCTTCCAAAGTGTAGCATTTTAAAAAGTGTACAGCAGGGACATTCAGGGAGGGAGGGAGAAAAATATAAGTGCAGTAAATTTTAATAATAGTGGTCACTTCCATTTTCCCCACGAGCTATTTTGTTAGTTTCTTCCAATTTATTTTGCTATACAAATGTATGCTTCCATGAGAGATCATAAACATAATTGCAGACCCTATAACTCTATCAAACATACTAGATTTAGAGCTGGGTTGAAGTGAATGAAAAAAGATGCTTCTTATAATTCACACTTTACTTGTAATGTGTCACAGATTAGACCAGTGCTTTTCAAACTTTTTCCTTCATTACCCTGTTGGAAATTAAAACCTACCCCTCTCCTAGAAGAATCAAATATCCTAGGAAATATTAAAAAGGCAGAATATTTCCTCTAAAAAGAGTAGAAACTCAGAAGCAGAAACTCACCAAAGAGACAGAAACTCAGCCCCACAATGGACCATTACTCTGGCCTGGGCCAGCCTATTTTACATAACAAAGATCTACTCCAGGTAGAGCTATAATAGGAATTGCCTAAAGCCCTTTCATTACATCATCATCCAGCAAGGCTCAACCAAACCTGGGACTCAGAACAGCCTACAGATTTGCCCCTGCATGGCCCCATGGGAGTCTGACAACCAGTCAGAATACAAGCTCAAATTCAAATCCCAACAGAGGGTATAAAACCCAGGCATTTTCAGCATCTCAGCCCTTCCTTTTTTCTTCACCCAAGGCATGTGATCCTGTCCACCATTAAACCATCTTTCCAAGCAGTCACCATGTTTCCACTGTCTTTCTTCCTCACTTGGAACTGAACCCAGAAGGATAATTCTTCCAACAATCAAAAACCGCTTATCAAAAAGTCTGTGCTTATCTGAAAGTCCTTATTTAAATGTTCCTGTCGTGATTGGGTAATGGGTTCATCATCCATTACCCAAGGGGAAAAAAACACTTTTATCCAACTTGGGGTAAATTATCCAGGTTTGGAAAGCACTAGATTAGAGACTAAACCCCAGATTGTTGTGTGCCTCTTACCTGTGTGGTTAATTTTTGATTCAGTGTATTGTGCAAATATTAAGGTAATTTAGACAGCCAGAATTTTAACTTAAATGTCAGTAAGTATATTATGTGATCATAACCTCAGAGTCACTTGGTTCAAAGATAATTGGAAGATCTTTGAAATCAGCTTGAGAAAAATAAGATGCAGCCCATAGAATAACAGAATATTGCTTTGAAGGCTAAACTATATGCTTACATGTTTAAAGAATAGCTGTTTAAAGAAGAACTGTTAGAGTTTAGAGAACTAGATTATCGATCCTGAAAGAATAATATTGCATCATAGTATACAATATCATTGCCTGATGTTTGCTTTTCCCAGTCATCATTTATTTGCTGGCTGAGCTAATTGTAAAAGAAGGCTGGACTGGCTCAGTCAGGTCAAAATTTGTCTTATGGAGTTAATTGTGCCAAAATGAATGCAAAATGAAATTGCTTTTGAAACTAAATAATTAGCCCTAGATATTCTAGATCAGGGGCTCCCAAACTTGGCCAGCTGGCTGCAGAATTCTGGGAGTTGAAGTCCACCAGTCTTAAAGTGGCCAAGTTTGGAGACCTCTGTTCTAGATGCAAATAGGGAATTAAATATTTAAACTAAATTTTGACCTTAAAATTTTTCAATAGTATACTTAAAATTTTTCAGAAATTTTAGTATACTATTTAAAACTCATAAACATTAGGTTTAATTCTAAATCTTGTATCAATAAAAATGTTCCACATAATTATTTCCTGTCAAATTTGAAAAGCATGGGAAACCATATTTTTGCATAAGCAATATTAAAAGGCCCAATTTAATGGATGGAAACTGAACAAGGAGAGATTTAACTTGGAAATAAGGACTTTTTGACAGTGAGAACAACTTTCCTCTCAGAAGTTGTGGGAGCATCATCACTTAAGACTTTCAAGAAGAGATTGGACTGCCATTTGTCAGAAATGGTGTAGGGTCTCCTGCTTGGGCGGAGTGTTGGACTAGATGACCTACAAGGTCCCTTCCAACTCTGATTATCTGTTATAAATTTATTTTTCATTTATTGTCCTCTCAAATTATTCTAATCCATTTTGGTTGGCTCTTCTGGTTCATGGTTTGGTCAGAATCTACAGTCACGATTTGTTTATTTTCCTTTTTTGAAAACTCCTTTTGTTTCTATGTACTGTAACATCTTTATTCACTCATGCTCAAAGTGGCATACAAAGCACTTTTTCGTCTGATTTTTCCCTAGGCTCAGAGTTAGCCCTGTTTGTAACTCATATTTGGAGAAATGATTTTTTAATGTAGAACTTAAATTATCAATATTAAAGATAAAGTCTGCCAGGTTGATCTAACCTAAATGGAAATGCAGTGTTTCATAGTTAATTTCTTTGACTCATAGTTTCTAAGTTATACCTGCAATTGTTCAGTTACTGCTAAGAACTCCCCTCACCATTTTAACGGTCGTCATATTTTGGCCTACTATTGAAACTGATGAATAAGTATTAGTCGTAGGGTATAATACAGTATATCTCTCCATGAAACTGTGTTTGACACTCATTAGATGTTTTGTCTTATGCCATAGTACATTGTGCATTTTGTGCAATTTCACTTTTTAAATATATGTTAGCAAAATAATTGGATATGTTAATTTAAAGTGAGGTTCTAATTTTGGAGGGGGGATTCACTGAGTGATCTTCAGAATGCATTGCTTTAGGCACTGAAGTGTTAAATATTACATCATTACAAAGCAATTGTTCTAAATATTTATTTTCTGCTGTAAATGGATGCATATTTTTGATTTGAAAATGAGTGACTGTCTATTCCTTATACACCATCCTAATCTTCTCTGCCTTTCCAGAGATGCATTTCTCCCTTCTCCTCTTACCTTGTTTCCTTAAAATTCATCAGGTCTTTTTTACCCTTTTCCTTGCAAATTAAATCCTTCCCTCAGCTTAGACCTTGACAATCATTCCTTAGTTCTATTAACTGTCTTTCTGTTGTATCTCCATTACACTAATATTCTTCATTTGTGTGTGTCTGTGTGTTTAATTAGAGTCACTTTTGGTTTTGTTAAGGACTGTGAGCGTGGAACTCATTTACCATTGTAACTGATCAGGTGTGAAAACAATTCTACATTAGTTCTCAGAAGTGTCCTCCAATGCCTTCTGATCAAGTCATTCTTCTCAGGAAACTGTTCTTGTCTCCAAGTGTTGCATTTGTGTAGTGAAATCTGTTTACAGATATCTCTTGAGTTAACTCTCAAACTAAATATTGCATATTTTCTTTGAAAGAATGCCTATTTTCAGACAAAAAAAATTTCTAATTTAGGGACATGAATATTTTAATCCAGGAAGGATGCCAATAAATGTACATTATAATATTGAGCTCTAATGTGGAAATGCATCAGAATACTAGATTGAGACACATGGGACTTCAGAATCCTTTTGCAGGTTTGGACAAAGAATTGAACTTTATCACTTAATTTTCTTGATTGGCTGTTCCAATCTAATGCCTTTCAGTTGTGTTAAACAGGACATTATCTTCTGTTATGATTCTATTAGAGCAGGGGTGTGAAACTTGCAGCCCACAGGGCGGATAAGTCACGCACTGGTCATGCCTACGTCCAGTTTAGCAATGGGGGAAAAAGTCATGACGCATCACGTGATGAC